ACTAGCACTACTACTGCTGCTGCTGCTGCTGCTACTACTACTATTACTGCGGCCACTACTACTACTGCTACTACTACTACTGCTACTACTACTACCACCACCACTACCTGACACCCAAGCCCTGCAACTCGAGGATCTTGATCGGTTCAGCTACCCGAAACATGAGTTTATGGCTAAGGGTTTAGTAAGGAAGTTAGGCCGTGTCTTGGTAAGGTCGTACCAAAGATGTCACAGTTGCTAACTCTGGACTACTTGGGGATTCATGGGACTTGGTACAGTTGTAAGTACCTTCAATAGGGCGATACTTGATTACAAGTATAAGATACATTTTTCACCCTGGTTACTAACCTAAACCCTAAACCCTAAACCCTGAACCCTAAGTCTCATGATCCTTCAAATACCAGCCCAAAGCCTTGCTGTTCTGCTTAAGGGTTAGGGTTTAGCGTTTCAGCTAGCACACCGGGGCTTTTGGGGCTTCGGGTCTAGGATTCAGGGTTCCTCTTGCAGGTTTTAGGGTCCTTAACCCTAAACCCGAAGCTCGAAATCATAAACCCCTTCAGGTTTCCCAAATAAGCCAAGGAAATAGAAGGTTCAACTTTCAGATTGCTACTAAATAATAAGAACCCAAAAAGTTTATAAAGGTGGTATTGGAGAACTACGAGGCATGGGAACCTGATTGAGAAACCCATGGCCCGATAACCCCACAATACGAGGCTTCACATAGAGAACCCTGTTAAAAGAAAACCCTAGGTGTCTTAACTAGGTTTCTAAATTACTGCATTGTCGGAGATGTGGGAATGGAGCTGAGGGTTGAGGGCTTAGGGTTTCAGGGTTTAGGGCTAAACCCTAAACCCTCTGTTGTGGACTCACGAGCGGAAGTGGCAGCCTCTCGTGTGTGTGTGTGTGTGCCCCATGTCACACACGCTGCTTGAACAAACGTCGTCGGTTGCACTGATGCCACGGCTTCAGTAAACCTACCAGCAGATCAGAAATGCTCAAACTGTGAGAGAACCGACCAAATCAATATTGTCCTGCCGATCCTGCAAGCCAATGTGGCCACCATAGATCACAGAAAATGACGCCAGCAGCATCGTGAAATCGATCAACTACACGTTCAGGTAGGCCTTGACAGCACTGCAGTCACCACCCAAAGAAGCGCTACCCCATGTCACGATGGATCCGTCGCTAGGAATGGCCGCAAAAGCATGCTCACTTGCTTGGATCTGCTGCACATTTCTCAGCTGATCCTGCACAGATCTACACCTACCACCATAGCCAGCACCCCAGGTCACGACCGATCCATTGCCAAGAATGGCCGCGAAAGCCTGCTCAGTGGCCTGGATCTGCTGCACATTCCTCAGCTCATGCTGCACAGCCCTGCTGTAGCCACCACGGTCAGGACAACCCCACGTAACGACCGATCCGTCACCAAGAATGGCCGCAAAAGCCTGTGCTGAGGCTTGGATCTGCTGCACATTCTGCAGCTTATCCTGTACAGAACTGCTAGCACCACCCCAGCCAGCACTGCCCCAAGTCACCACAGTTCCACCGTCAAGAATGGCAGCAAAGGCGGAATCCGAGGCCTGAATCTGCTGCACATTCCTCAGCTGGTCCTGCACAGCACTACTGTCTCCGCCGAAGTCGGCACCGAAGTGGGGACCACCCCATGTCACGACGGATGCATCTGCTAGAATGGCAGCAAATGCACAATTTGATGCCTGGATCTGCTGCACGTTGGTCAGCTGATGCTGCACACCACCACTGTCACCACCATCGCCAGCAACGCCCCAGGTCACGACCGACCCATCGCCAAGAATGGCAGCAAACGAACGGCGAGTAGCTTGGATTTTTCGCACATTCCGCAGCTTTTCCTGTACAGGACTGCTGTCACCACCGCAGCCAGCATTGCCCCAAGTCACCACAGTTCCATCGTCGAGAATGGCAGCAAAAGCAGAGCCAGAGGCCTGGATCTGCTGCACATTCCGCAGCTGGTCCTGAACAGCGCAACTGTCACCACCATGGCTAGCACGACCCCAAGTAACGACCGATCCATCGCCAAGAATAGCCGCAAAAGCATGCTCACTTGCTTGGATCTGCTGCACATTCTTCAGCTGGTCCTGCTGAGCACTACTGTCACCACCATCACCAGGGCTACCCCAGGTTACGACCGATCCGTCGCCAAGAATGGCGGCAAAAGCCTTCTTAGATGCTTGGATCTGCTGCACGTTCTTCAAGTGATCCTGCACAGCAGTACTGTCGCCACCATGGCAAGCAGCACCCCAGGTCACGACCGACCCATCGCCAAGAATGGCGGCAAAAGCACAAGAGGTGGATTGGATTTGAAGTCGGTTCAATTGCAAAGTCAGCGAATCACCATCCTTAAGCTTTGCGGCCTCCATTGTCGAGCCTGCATCCAAGATGCTTCCCGAGGAGTCCAGCAGCCGCCCTCTGCCGACGCCAAGTTCGGCCTGCGCCCGACGTGTCACCATTCCCACCTCTTCATCCAAGTCGGCTCTCACGATAGCTCTTTTGCCACTGAGAAGTCCGACTTCCACGGCAATCGACATGTCGCACTCTTGTCGCACAACGGTCTGGGATTAGAAGTTTGGGTTTGAAGCAGAGAAGTCTTCGAGTTTTGATCTTGTGCTCGACAAGTTCTACATCTACCTTTCAACCCTACACTGTGCTACACCAGTCAACTAGCCTCAACCCCAAAGCCCTAAACCTCTGAAGCCTAAGCGCCAAAAATCCATACCGCGGAATAGCGCTAAACCTCTAAATTCAAATAAATACCCCTACGAATCCTAAACCCTAAACCCTAAACCCTGAATCACGGGAAGCGTTATCGACTCTCTGGCTCAAACCCTTCTGTTTGATAGGTGTATTGGGTTTAGGGTTTAGGGTTCGTAGAGTCTTAACGAGAACTATCCTAGATCATACACTATGTAAGTCCGGAAAGTGGATACAAATACCCAGACTCAAAACAATAAGCCATGAAACCCTGAACACCTGAGCCCTACGGCCTAAGCCCCAGGAACGAAACCTCGAAAATTGAGTGATTCACAGTCTTCCGGAAACGCCCTAAGCCCTAAACCCCAAGTCTAAGGGCTTTAGGAGGGACCCTTAATAGGGACCCTTGTAGGTTATGGGGTTAATATGGAGACTACCTGGCTATATGAGGTGTATATAAGGACTATACAATGGTTATTTAAGGTAATGGGAATAAGGGTCCCTATTCGGGGTCCCCCCTAAAGTCCTTCGACTAAGCCCTCAACACTAAACCCTGAGCCCTAAGCTACCTGTCGTACATCGCAGGGCTTAGGGTTTGGAGAGGTTTTAGGGCTTAGAGTTTAGATTTTTTACCTCTCGCCTAGCTAGGCCTGACAGTTTCAGCGTTTTAGATACGGTTCCCCTTTAGCGTTAAGGGTCTAGCCTTCTGCTGCTCAATTTAACACTAAATTGTGAACCTCATATCAGCCGTAAACCCCCGAAGGCAATGAAGCGTCTCCCATGCTAGATGTCAACCTTATTTGTTGGATTCGTAAGCCCAAAAAATCAAGCTTTCAGTTCTTATAAAGGTTAATACTACCTTTAAAAGTGTAAAGCGTACCCGCCGTGCAGCAACTGAGCAACACCCCTTGCATACCCACACATGAGGCTCCCGAAACGGTCTTCGTAACAGCTTAGGGCTTAGGGGTTAAGGCGTTACGGCGTAGGGTTTGGCGTACAGGGTTCAGGGTTCGGGATCGGAGGGGGTGGGGGGAGTTTTTGCCTCAGGCTTCAGGGTGTGGGATCGAGGGCTTAAGGCTGAGGGAGTTGTTGCCTCAGGGCTTTTCTTTGAAAAACCCTGCGACCGAATGCTTGTAACCGCAAATGACAAGAGAACAAAAACATTTCCCCAATGGTAAAAGCAGATATGTGATGTCATGATAACCACGATGATCATAACCATCATGCTTGTCACAAGGCCCGCCAGCTGATCAAGTCCAAACCCTAAAGCATAACCTGCCCGCGCCCTGAACCGCAAGCTTACACCCTGAACCCCAGATCCCTAACCCTACCGACCCAAATCCCAAACTCCCAAACCCGGAACCCTCAACCCTCAACTTCTTTTGAAACCCTAAACCCTCAACCCTAAACCCTAAACCCTCAATCCATCTTGAAACCCTAAACCCTCAACCCTAAACCCTCAACCCTTCTTGAAACGCTGAAGCCTCAACCCTTCTTGAAACCCTACCCATAGGCCCCATAGTAGTTCCTTTTTGGGGTTCATACTTAGAACCCTATAAGGTAATCCCAAAGAGGAACTAATACGGGGCCTATGGCCTAAACCCTAAACCCTAAGGTCTATGGGTAAAGCCTCAACACTACGCAAAGAGGGCCTCGCCGCTGTCCAGCAGTGCCGCGGTGGCGCGGAGGGCCGCAAGCTGGACCTGAATCTACCCAGATCTTCTTAGACTAAATCCCTAAGGGTTTAGGGTTTAGGGTTTTTTCCCTCTCGCCATGTCTAGGGTTTAGGGTTTAGGGCTTAGGGTCCAGATCTGGGTCCATGTACCCAACTAGTATATACTTTGGCCTTAATGTAGTGCCTATTTAGGTACTTTGGGGCCAGTGTATAGACTATTTAGGTACATGGACCCTGAGGATTATACTTCAGGGTTCAGGGTTTAGGGGTTTAAGGGTTTAGGGTTCAGGGTTCAGGGGTTTGAGGGTTTAGGGTGTAGGGGTTTAAGGGTTTAGATATAGGATTTAAGGCTTTGGGGTTTAGGGCTTTACGGCTTAGGGTTTAAGGCTTAGTTGTGTTAAAGAGATCTTTATCTTCTTATAC